TGCAGAAAACAGTTAAGCATCAAAAAAGATTTTCTAATAAAAATCTTGTGTATAAGGATATTGCTGCCACTGAGTGATGAACGAAAGTCTATTCATGATATTAATACAGGTAATTATTGTGAAATAGAAAAAAGGACCATATGTGCCATCGACCGTGGCATTCAGGTCAGATCTTATCAATAATAGCCTGAATCAAATGCATTCAGAAACATTTCATATTAAACTCGCAGGAGATTATTGTGAAAGAAAATCTGCTCCACAAAGACACAAAATATACCCATAATTCATTCTCAGGTGACAACTTTGTTCCAACAATATGATCCTCTTTCTTTTAAAATATGACAGACTGCAAAGCTGATCTTGAACTATGTGATATGATACCCAGAATCCGAATAAATAGGGTATTACTGCCAAACAGAATTTAACCCCACTAAAAATTTATCATTTTCCAAAAGAATTTTCATGGCAGATAAAACAAATTATTTTATTGCACACAATGCTCCTAAAACATATTTCTAGACTGACTCAAAAGTATATGCATGGAAGTTTTCAAGTTTTGATATAGTTCCAACCAAGTCTGACAATTCAAGGACATAAAGGAGATTTTAGCTCATTAGGAATAGAAAGGAAATTCCTAATGCATGTATGTTCTACACTTAATTATCAGATGTTAGGTGCATATAAGTTAAACAAAAACACCATTCAAGGACTGTCCAGGTTATCAGAACTGTCTGAATGTCCAAGTTACTACATATTTAATATCATGATAGCCTAATATGTTAACTTCATTGCATGCTTTTTACTTAGCAACTAGATTTTTTGACTGCCGGCTATCACTAGGAATGTTCCCAACCTTAAAACTACTAACCCCTTTCTATGAACGATTTCTATTTTAGTATGCAACTCTGGCATTTCCAACCAATCAGATATCTCAGTTTAGTTGTTATGAAGAACAAAATCATACAGATGATTTTGCAATTTTCTGAAGCAATATGTGTGTCAACTTGAACATGAATGGCCATTGTGAAGACGGGTCTTTGCATGGAAACCAAATCATGAGTATAATTCTATATTTAGTAACAGATCAAATGACCTTTAACCCATGAGCTGAAAAGCAATCTCATGCAAATTCTCGTAATTCACACAAGAAACCTGTGTACCAAATATGGTCACAACTGGGTGTGAAGAACAAAATTTATTGCACAGAATAACCATTCTTCTATTTTTAGGGACAGATCATGTGACTTTTGACCTCACAAGTGAAACAAAACGTTAATTTGATAGACAGCGGATGGACAGCAAAATAGCTTCACAAGATTTTCATACTAACATGGCGAGACATAATAAAACTAATAACATATGATTAGCAGACATCATCACACTCAACAGCTTGCATAAATTGCCCAAAATGAGTTTTTCAAGATATTCTTTGCAAAAAAAATACGCCATTGACAACTACTAACTACCTTCCCAGATCTAGTAGACCTCCAAAGATTTGGCCCTTATGTGTAAGGTCAAGTCCAGGACTAACAACAAACCACTCAAGTTCTGCTATTTTTCACGGTTTTTGACAAGCATTGTTGCTCCATCAATAGAATGAGAGAAGGAAAATATTGTAATTAGTTGACCTTATCTCTGTTCACACATTGGAGTAAAGGCTCCAGCACAAACTTTCTAAGTAAACGTTCTCAAGTCCTGTCACTGTCTTAACAAATATTGTCATTTCAATATGGGTTGGCACTCCATTAGAAAATATTTGCATTCCATTCGTCACAAATCTGAGGTACAAAAGATTGTTTGCGTAACGTACCACACAACTTGCACAGTAATTACCCCTGAAACCTCTCAATATGTACTAAATCAATGGAAACCTCCATTTTCTACATAGAGGTAATTGGTGAATCAGAGGAAAATGTTCCACAGTGAATTTAAACACTGAAATTATTTCAGGGGTTTTAAAACCAACTGGCAATTGTCAGTGCATAGACTATAACAATACAACATTATACAAGTCACTATCATGCCTGTTATATCCTCTGACTACTACACAGATCTTGGAGACTTGATTCACTTATAGCGACAACCAGTCTCCAAGCCCTTCATTAAATAAAATACAGGTTTTGTTCAAACGCTCATTTTACGTAAACCTACTGTACATTACGCATACAAATACTCCAGTTTGCATATTCCCAATTAAAATTAATTCAATTTCTATATTTTTTTGTTGACAAGAACTATTGATTTGGGTATACAAACTCAGGTCTAGCCATTATGATTCATTTGACAGAGCAGTTTAAAAATTGGTTGAATTATAAAGTCTTTCATTTCTCCAAATATCTAATCTGCATGGTCAATTTTTCATCAGGAGGCTTGTTGACATAAAAGTCCTTTATTTCAAAATTTACAACAATGCATACATAATTTCAGGTTAAAGTAACATTCAGAAACACTAGGGTTTCAAATACTTAAAACCATGGAATAATGCGAGAAGATACCTAGATTTTGTAACTACATGTATTACCTGGTAATCAGATTTCTAATGTCAATATTAAAAAATGAAAACTTCCAGTACAAGAGGCCCAGAGGGCCTGTATCACTCACCTGGATCTTTATGACCAACATTACTATATCTGTGCATATGTTCCACGTTTAACACATTTGACCCCTGTGACCCTGACTCTGGGTCAAAGTCATTTCTTTAACTTTCTTGGACTTCATAAAAGGAACATACTGGCCAAATATAATGATTCTAGGCTTTTCGGTATTTCAGAAGAAATTGTTTAAACATTTTAACACATTTGGACTCCTGTAACCTTGAAGATTGGTCAAGGTCATTTCTTTTAGCAAACTTTATTGGACACCATAAGAGGAACATAGTAGCCTAATAGAATGATTCTAGGCCTTCTGGTTATTTTGAAAGAAGTTGCTTAAAGATTTTAACACATTTGATATCTGTGACCTTGAATATGGGTCAAGGTTATTTTTTTCACAATCTTTGTTGGGCTTCATCAATGGAATATCCAGTCAAATATAATGATTCTAGGCCTTCCAGTATTTTGGAAGAAGTCGTTGAAAGGTTTTAACACATTTGACCTCAGTGACCTTGAATATTGGTCAAGGTCATTTCTTTTTGCAAACTTTGTTGGGCTTCATCAAAGGAACCTTCCAGCCATATATAACAATTCTAGGCCGGTATTTTGGAAGAAGTTGTTTAAATGTTTTAACACATTTGACCTCAGTGACCTTGAATATGGGTAAAGATTTTTTTTTTTTTTTTGCAAACTTTGTTGGGCTTCCTCAAAGGAACCTTCCAGCCAAATATGATAACTTTACGCCTTTCGGTATTTCAGAAGAAGTTGTTTAAATGGAAAGTTGACGGATGCCGCACGGACGGCCAGACATCGCGCTATGGCAAGTGAGCTAAAAATGGATGTTTAGAGGGCAGAAGCATTCACACAAGTCACTCAAACTGAAAGTAGATTGTGCTCACAGTAATATTAACCAACTAGACGCATCACTGTGATGTCCAGCTAAGATCCAATGAAAAAGATAAAGCAAATTTGCTTTTAAAAGGATGTACTTAAGATCTTGTGTTTTTCATGTATTAGGTCTAAGTTGACGAAAGGCTAACAAAGCCAAGATGAAAACTATCTATTTAGTGCAAACAAAAAACTACATTCAATATTTAACTACCAGATACTATAAATCAATGGTTGAAGCTGTATGTCTCAGTATCACTGTAAATGTATGAAGCTGTATGTCTCAGTATCACTGTACATGTATGAAGCTGTATGTGTCAGTATCCCTGTATGTCTCAGTATCACTGTATGTCTCAGTATCACTGTAAATGTATGAAGCTGTATGTCTCTGTATCACTGTAAATGTATGAAGCTGTATGTGTCAGTATCCCTGTATGTCTCAGTATCACTGTATGTCTCAGTATTACTGTATGTCTCAGTATCACTGTAAATGTATGAAGCTGTATGTCTCTGTATCACTGTAAATGTATGAAGCTGTATGTCTCAGTATTACTGTAAATGTATGAAGCTGTATGTCTCAGTATCACTGTAAATGTATGAAGCTGTATGTCTCAGTATCACTGTATGTCTCAGTATCACTGTTTGCCTCAGTATCACTGTATGTCTCAGTATCACTGTAAATGTATGAAGCTGTATGTCTCAGTATCACTGTAAATGTATGAAGCTGTGTATCTCAGTATCACTGTATGTCTCAGTATCACTGTAAATGTATGAAGCTGTATGTCTCAGTATTACTGTAAATGTATGAAGCTGTATGTCTCAGTATTACTGTAAATGTATGAAGCTGTATGTCTCAGTATCACTGTAAATGTATGAAGCTGTATGTCTCAGTATCCCTGTATGTCTCAGTATCACTGCATGTCTCAGTATCACTGTAAATGTATGAAGCTGTATGTCTCAGTATTACTGTAAATGTATGAAGCTGAATGTCTCAGTATCACTGTAAATGTATGAAGCTGTATGTCTCAGTATCACTGCATGTCTCAGTATCACTGTAAATGTATGAAGCTGTATGTCTCAGTATCACTGCATGTCTCAGTATCACTGTAAATGTATGAAGCTGCATGTCTCAGTATCACTGTAAATGTATGAAGCTGTATGTCTCAGTATCACTGTAAATGTATGAAGCTGTATGTCTCAGTATCCCTGTATGTCTCAGTATCACTGCATGTCTCAGTATTACTGTAAATGTATGAAGCTGAATGTCTCAGTATTACTGTAAATGTATGAAGCTGTATGTGTCAGTATCCCTGTATGTCTCAGTATCACTGTAAATGTATGAAGCTGTATGTCTCAGTATCACTGTAAATGTATGAAGCTGTATGTCTCAGTATCCCTGTATGTCTCAGTATCACTGCATGTCTCAGTATCACTGTAAATGTATGAAGCTGAATGTCTCAGTATTACTGTAAATGTATGAAGCTGAATGTCTCATCAATATCGTAAATACTTTACACTTACCACATTAGCCATGTAGGTAGCAAGAAGGCCTCTCCTGAAATTAAAATGAATAAGTTATCAAATATCATAATTTCACAAAATACTTTATTGATCATTTTATACATGATGTGAACCCAGCATCCATTACCATGTATAGAAGTTTCCCTTTCACAAAACAAAACACATCTATGTTGTTACAATTTTTGACTTGAACAATCCCCATATTTCATTATATCATGATTTATTCATCCAGCAGATTTTTTTTTTGTCTGACTTGATTTAACTTAATCAATGGTATCTAGTATTTACAAGCTCTTTGTCTAGCAACCCTATACAGATTCTGACCTAACATTGGCGGTGTGCCACCTTAGTGACAAGTTCAATGTGACAAATGACCTGTCTTACCTCCCCTGACAACTTCAATATGGTCTACCTACTAATTACCTCCTCACATTCCAGATTTATCACAAAAATATCATAAAATACCCTGAACACATGGACAGGAGTGCAAGTAAAAATACACAAGGAAGGGAGATAACTCTTTTATAAATAGAATGATATCTGATAAGAAACAATATACAATTATAATTAATTCCAGCCCAATCAAAAACACTGGAACGTTAGCTTTGTCAAACATTTATCAACCCATTTTTCATCCCAGGGACCTGTTCACTGTAATGACATAAGCTTTATCACAGTGTCTTTCAACATATGCCATTGGTTCGTCAGCTATCTCATGACTATCTTTCCTTAATATAAATCGTACCTACAATGGATTTGACAGTCGGCAGCCAAGTGTTTACACAGTCATTCAAGCCAGCCAATGTTTTTTGTAAGGAGGTAAGCTGGGATAGATTGTATCTAGTTTGTTAACCCCCAAATCTTGACAGGTATAAGGTATCAGAGTGTGTATGCTATAGGCACCTCCTATCCATTGTATTCAATAAGCTGGGTGTCATAAGTCCGCCTTTCTGACTTCTGACAAGCATCAGTTTACACAGATAATGACACAGTAATGCCAATCTCATGTCAATTTTGTTGAACCATAAAATGAATTTATAGCCATTATACACTCGAGTAAAAAAGAAATTTCTCACTTTTTCTGACCTCACAAGAAAGTCCTAAATTACATGTGACTATGTCCCAATATGTTTGGGAGACACCTACAGTACAGACAGACACAGAGTATCATTATCTCATAAAATGCTTATACATGCATGTACCTTTTCACCAAAAAAAATTTATAAATCACGCAAATTTTAAAGCATCTATAATAAATGAATCCCAGCGAGCAGCCTACTAGTTTTAAACAAACAATTATTTTCCAGCGCTGGACAACAACAGTGGAAAGCACTGCTCCAGTTAGTTTACATTGTTACACAAGTAACCTGCTGAGATCCTAATAGCTTAACCTCCTTCTCTACATCCTACCCTTGTTCCAGACCCAGCAGGTGAGCACAAGACATTTTTACAGGTGAGACAGTCACCAAGTTTGTCGTTCATGTGTGCAATTTAATTTCTACCTGTAAAGGTTTTAGTTACACAAGTGTCATCAAGGCAAACTGAAATCTCAGTGCTGGCATAGAATCTAAATCTTCTACTTCCGATGACCAGAGGAACACATTTAGCATTAGCCTAACCAGACTAGTATAAACTCAGCCTAACCAGACTAGTATAAACTCAGCCTGACTAGACTAGCATAAACTCAGGGAGCAAATGACTTTGCAATGGCCTAATGAGACATGTATTGACTCAGCAAGTAAATAATTTAACTTTACCTTCATCACACTGGTATTGACTCAGTAAACAAATGACTAGCATTGGCCTAATCAGACAGGTATTCACTCAGTGAGTGAAGGATTAAGGATAATGGACCAATCAGACTGGTATTGACTTGGCAGTTAATGATTTAGCATTGGCCTTGTATCAGACTGTTATGAATTCACTCAGGGATTAAAGGATTAAGCAATGGCCAAATCACACTGGTATTGACTCATAGAGTTAATGATATAGCATTGGCCTAATCTCGTATTGACTCAGAGAGTTAATGATATGGCATTGACGTAATCTGGTATTGACTCAGAGAGTTAATGATATAGCATTGGCCTAATCTCGTATTGACTCGGAGAGTTAATGATATAGCATTGGCCTAATCTCATATTGACTCAGAGAGTTAATGATATAGCATTGGCCTAATCTGGTATTGACTCAGAGGGTTAATGATATGGCATTGACGTAATCTGGTATTGACTCAGAGAGTTAATGATATAGCATTGACCTAATCTGGTATTGACTCAGAGAGTTAATGATATAGCATTGACCTAATCTGGTATTGACTCAGAGAGTCAATGATATAGCATTGACCTAATCTGGTATTGACTCAGAGAGTCAATGATATAGCATTGACCTAATCTGGTATTGACTCAGAGAGTCAATGATATAGCATTGGCCTAATCTGGTATTGACTCAGAGAGTTAATGATATAGCATTGACCTAATCTGGTATTGACTCAGAGAGTCAATGATATAGCATTGACCTAATCTGGTATTGACTCAGAGAGTTAATGATATAGCATTGGCGTAATATCAGTCTGGTATGTTATTCACACAGGAAGTAAAAGATTTAGCATTGGCCTAATCAGACTGGTATTGACTCGGTGAGTTAATGAATTGTTTATGTAAATGAGACCAGATTGGAATCAGAATTAAAACATTTGTTACAAACTCTCTTTTATAGACCACTATTTTTCTGTTTTTATGACCATGATAGAATCTGTAAATTTGAATGTCTGGTCAGAATTCAGCATTGGGAAGATATTGTACAGAGTTAGAGCCCAGGCCCTGTAAAACAATCAAACTGATTTATAACAGGAAGACAAAATAGCCCCCTTGACAACATAATGTTTATCCTCTGAAATTGATAGAGTCATTTCCGATAATTTTCCCAAACGGTCTCAAAGTTCGCTTTTTTCCTGCTAGACAGAATCAATAGAGTGCAGTCCTGTAGATATTGCAATCCTTGGCTTTCATTTGTAACAGGACCCTCACCCGATTGTTGGGTCCCTTAAATGATTACTGACGTCCTCAAATGCTGGTTGTCTACATTTAGACATAGTTTTCATGACTTCCAAGCTGATTAGCTGAATGATCTGTTTAGCCTTGCGTTGATTCACCCTTTCATTATGTTGCGAGGAAAATTCTGAGGCACTATATGGAGTACACAATAAGAATGTGGGAGAGGTCACTTAGCAACCTCTGTATTGACACAGACATATCTATTTGAGCCTCATTGCAAATACTAGGTTTCTTTGTTGGCAAAAATATTAATGAGAATTACGCAGTTAGATTGGAAAGCATCAGATATCCTATCTACTTTGTTGTTTTTTTGGCAAGCTAATAAAAAGTTACCTGTATCTCCAATCCTGTTTTTACACAATTGGAAATATGCTACAAATTAACACTGTAATAACCCCGTCTTCAATTTACTAATGTTTTAGTGTTAATAATATATTACAGAATTAATGATAATTTGACTTTTCATTTAGATAACAGCTGATTTCAATTACCAGCATTGTAATATATATATCATATGCATCTGGCCAATGACCTTGACTGTTGATAACATGATTTTTTATTCACATTTATAAAGCTACCTTCAGTGTCAGCTTGATCTTTCAAATGATTTCTAATTGTCTCTGTAGAACTTTGATTCTGATAGCTGTAGTATATCTCTTTCATTTCAGTAATAATTACCCTAACTTTAGTATGCAAATATGGTACCTACACCCGTCTTTGTATCCCAAAAACAAAAGATTAAAAAATCCTGTGACATCCACAGCAGGCAGTTCATGAATGGCTATGGTCACAATCATCTTAACCTTTGTAATGTAATCAGGTAACTGAGTTGTCACTACAATCTGAAGTATTGATGACATAAAATATACTTATATATCATTTTACTGACTTCTAAGGAAGCTTTGATCAGTACAATATAGGACTGAGGTACAATTACAAAGTTCAGCTGACCTAATCAACCGAGTACAGAATCTCACTGAACAGAAGAAAGTCACTTAAATGCAGGGAAGAGTATTAAAATGTATTTACCATCAGCTAATGGATATGTTCAATTTCATCACTTCTTGTATACAAGTAGTTCAATGAAATTCAGTGGATTAAAAAAATTCTTATTTTCGACATGTTGGTGTCTAAAGTCATGCATTAATTAAATGTCATCAGAAAATAATTTAACAAAAGTATTCTCATTTCTCCCAGCAACTTCAATGACTACAAGTTATATTTAAGTATTACGTTGTGATGTTAGACCTTAAATTAACAGAGACACACAAAAACAATCTAACAAACAAAAAACTGACGCACCATAATTATAGTCTGGTCAAGAGAGATAGCGTTCAGCTGGTACATGTTTTACTTGGTTTTGTATATGACCTAACTAACTGAACATGGTTTTTATCAACTTTCTGTTACTTTACTATAATGTTACTGTTGGGATGGGAATAAATAACATTATGCATAACTTTAGAATCTTCATTTCTTACTTTCTTTAAAAAAACTGCAATGACCAAAGAAAATTCAAATAGATGAAATTGAACAGTCTCTTTTTTAACCAAAGTCCTCGAGATGGTCATCAATATTATGAAGTCTACTTGGTAAATTTTGAAGATTATTTATGTCTCAAGTCTAGTAAACAGTCATTCCCGCCAAATTCCAAGAGGATAAAAGATACATTTAGAATAGACTTATTCGTAAAACCCCTGCTGATTTGTTTGGTGTCTTTCTTAACTTTTCCTCCCTGTCAAATTATCCTGCATGCCTCTGCTTCAAACTCTGGTATCAAAAGCATATTGTAAGGCATTGTTAAGGCTTAGCAGCCTAGCCAGTAAATCAGTGCAGTCCTTTATACTAGGCCGATTTTTAATTTCCCTCAATAATTAGATGTTAAAGCCTCTTCGCTACCGATGGCAACTGTAATTACAGGTTTACCAGCTATTTTTATTATTACAGCAGATTAAGAGTCAAATAAAAGTGTTGATCTGTC